GCAATTCTTGTCTCACACACGATTTTTCTTACGTCAGAATTTCCAGCTCTCGAATATATGTGAGTAACGGATGTTTTTAAATCTCAATGACCACTCCCCAAAGTCTTCACTTCATCTCTCAATATTAAATACTTAAAAATATATTTTCGTTTTTACTCGACGTTATTTCCATCATTTTTTTTAGAGAGAAATAAAGAAAAAAAAAATTCTTCACAAAACATTTTTTTCTTTTATTGACAGTTTCTTTTTTTTATACTTGAAAAAAGTGAAAATTAAAAATCTATTTTCAAATAAACGGAAAATTTAATTATTAGATTTTTTTTTTCTGTTTTGAAAATTCAATTTTCTTCAAAACTTTTTTTTTTTTGATGAATTTGAAAAATATTTTTCAATTTATTAATTTGAACTTTGACTTTATTTTCATTTTTTTAATTTCTTGATAACACAAAAATAATATATAGATAATAATGATAATAATAATATTATTATTATTTATATTTTTTATATTGTTTGTATTTTAATGACAAAAATAAAATATTTTTCTTCTAAAATACAAAAAAGAATAAAGACGAAATAAATAAAATATAAGGAAATAAAAATTAAAATTGACTTCAGAATAACGGGAATTTCTATTTTTCTCATTTTCTTCCACTTGATTTGGATAAAATTCTACTGTTGATAAAAATTAAAAATTCCAGTTTTTTCTAAAACCGGATTTAAAATTTCGAATATAATTTACTTGAAAACGGAATTTTTTTTAAAATAAATAAATAAATTGAAACAGATTTTTTAAAATTGAATTCAAATGTTAAAAATAGAATTATGAAATTTCAAATTAAAAAATATAATTTATAGTAAAAAATATCAATTTTAATTTTTAATTTTTTATTCTTTTTTCTTTTTTTTTTTTGAATAAAAAATCCATTACTCGAAATTTACTGAATTAAAATTTCTAATTATTTGTATCTCATTTTCGAATTAATTAAAATTGAATAAAAGAAAAGAAAATTTGATTTTAAAATAGAAATTTTAATTTCCAGCTTTTTTCTATTTCAATAATAAAAAAAAAAAATTCACGTTAAAAAATTGAAATTTCTACATTTTTTTCCCCTTTTTTAAATCGAATTTAAAAATTTTATTTCTACATATTTCTTTATTTTCTAATTTAATTTAAAAAATAATTGGAATTAAATCAAAAGCAAATAAAAAAAAACGAAAAATTTATTTAAAAATAGAGAATTTAATTTTCACTTTTTGTTATTTACTTTTTTTTCAATTTCAAACTAAAAGAATTGATAATTCATTTTTCTCTATTAAAAAAAATTGAATTGAAAATTCGACTTTCTTTTTGCAAAAAGAAAATTGAAAATTCGTCATTTTTTTTCGTTTTCAAGAAAAAGAATTGAAAATTTTCCTTTTGTTTCAATTCGAAAAATAAATTCAACATTTTCTTTCAATTTACAAAAATAAATTGAAAATTTAACATTTTTTTCTATTTCAGGAAAAAAAAATTAAAAATTCAACTATTTTTTTTCTTTTTCTTTAAATGAATTTTTTGAAAATATATTCAATGAAAGTACAAAATTTAACAAAAAATATATAGAATATAAAAATTGTAAATTTCAATTTTCATTTTTGCATAATAATTATTTTAATTTTTCGAAAAATAGAATGAAAAAAAAAATTTTTCATTTAAAGAAAAACGAAAAATTTATAGAGAAAAATAGCAAAATTTTAGCATTTGTGTGATTATAATAATTAAATTCAATTAAATACCGTGTGTTTAGTGTTAATAAAATGAAAAAAAATCGAGTCAAATTTCAAACAAATGATGGGAAGAAGAGAAAATTAGCAATTTTTTTTTCTTTTTAATTATTGGCTTTGGTTTAAGGCTCTTGGTATTTAAACTCGTAATTATTATTTAAAAAACGCTATTAGCAAATATTGGCTTTTTTGTTTATGTAATTTTTCCGGTTTTTGTATATTTCTATTATTATTTTTATTATTATTATTATTATTATTATTATTTTTATTTTTTTATTTTTATTATTACTATTATTATTATTATTTTCTCTTTATTATTACTATTTTTCAAATGAATTAATAATAATAAAATTATTATTTTGTCAACAAAATAATTAATATTTAATATTTTATTAATAATAAAATTTGACATTTTTTCCTAATAAAAAAAAATTTAAAGGTCAACATATTCTTTCTTTTTTAAAGAAATAAATTGAAAAGTCGAAATTTGTTTTTCTTTTTCAAGAAGAAAAATTGAAAATTCGTAAATTTTTTCTATTTTAGAAAAAAAAATGGAAAATTTAACTCTTTTTTCTTCTTTACAAAAAAGAATTGAAAATTCGACATTTTTTCTATTTTAGAAAAAAAGAATTGAAAATTTCACATTTTTTCAATTTTAGAAAAATATAATTGAAAATGCAACATTTTATTCTATCTTAGAAAAAAAAGAACTGAAAATTCGATTATTTTTTCTTTTTTAGAAAAAAGAATTGAAAAATTTCGATATTTTTTCTATTGGAGAAATTTTATTTTATTTTTATTTTATTTAACAAGTATACGGGACAAAATAATTGAAAATTCGATAATATTTCTTTTTCCGAAAAAAAGAATTGAAAATTCGTTTTTTTCTATTCGTTAAAAAAAAAATGAATTGGAAATTCAAATTTAAAAAAAAAAAAAATTGGAAATTCGTCATTTTTTCTATTGGAGGAATAATTGAAAATTCGACATTTTCTTCTTCTTTAAAAAAAAGCAATTGAAAATTCATTTTTTTCTCTTCTTTTTCAAAAAAAAGAATTGAAAATTCGTTTTCTTTCTTTTTGTTTCCAAAAAAAAAAATAATTGAAAATTCGACTTTTTTTAATAGAAAAATTGAAAATTCTTCGTTTTTTCTACTTTAGAAAAAAGAATGGAAAATTTTTCATTTCTTTTTCGTTTTTAGGAAAAATTATTGAAAATTGACTAATTCCTGTTTTTCAGAAAAAGGAATTAAAAATTCGACATTTTTTTTTGAGAAATAATTGAAATTTCCACATTTTTTTAATTTTAGAAAAAAAGAAATTAAAATTCAATATTTTTTTATTAAAAAAAAAGAAGAATTAAATAATAATTTTTTTTTCTTTTCTTTTTCAATAAAAAGAATTGGAAAATCGACGTTTTTCAAATAAAAAAAAAATAAAAATTCCACATTTTTTTCATTTTTTTTCCTTTTTTAAGAAAAAGAATTGAAAATTCGCCATTTTTTTTTCTAATTTCGAAAATAAGAATTGAAAATTCGACTTTTTTTGCATAAAAAAAATTGAAAATTTTTAATTCTATTGGAGAAATACCAATTTTTTTCTACTTTACAAAAAGGAATTGAAAATTGGACATTATTTCTTTTTTCGAAAAAAGAATTGAAAATTCGAATTTTTTCTACTTTCGAAAAAAATAATTGAAAATTAAAATTTTTTTTATAAAAAATATTGGAAATTCGACATTTTCTTCTTTTTTAGAAAAAGGAATTGAAAATTCGTTTTTTTCTTTTCTTTTTCAAGAAAAAGAATTGAAAATTCGATTTTTTTTAATAAAAAGAATTGAAAATTCTTTTTCTGTCTTTTTGTTACAAAAAAAAGAAGAATTGAAAATTGGACTGTTTTTTCATTTTTAGAAAAAAGAATTGAAAATTTTTAATTTTTTCTTTTTTTCCAGAAAAAAATAATTGAAAGTTAGAGTTTTTCTATTTTAAAAAAAGAATTGAAAATTTCTTATCTTTTCCTTTTTCAAGAAAAAGAATTGAAAATTCGCCATTTTCTTCTAATTTCGAAAAAAATCATTGAAAATTCAAATTTAAAAAAAAAAAATTGTAAATTCGACATTTTTTCTATTTTCGAAAATAAAAATTGAAAATTCAACATTTTTTTCTATTTTTGAAAATAAGAATTGAAAATTTCTTATCTTTTCCTTTTTCAAGAAAAAGAATTGAAAATTCGCCATTTTCTTCTAATTTCGAAAAAAATCATTGAAAATTCAAATTTAAAAAAAAAAAAAAAATTGTAAATTCGACATTTTTTCTATTTTCGAAAATAAAAATTGAAAATTCGCCATTTTTTTCATAAAAAAAAATTGAAAATTCGACATTTTCTTCTTTTTTAGAAAAAGGAATTGAAAATTTCTTATCTTTTCCTTTTTCAAGAAAAAGAATTGAAAATTCGACATTTTTTTTCTAATTTCGAAAATAAGAATTGAAATTTCGATTTTTTTTCATAAAAAAAATTGAAACTTCGACATGTTTTTCTTTTTTCAAAAATGAGAATTAAAAATTCGCTATTTTTTTTATAAAAAAAAAATTGAAAATTCGACTTTTCTTCTACTTTCGAAAATTAAAATTGAAAGTTCGCCTTTTTTTCCCAAAAAAAAAATTGAAAATTCCACATTTCTTCTATTGGAGTTCGACTTTTTTTTATTGATAATAAGAAAATAATAATTTTTTTTCTCAATAGAAACTAATATATACTAAAAATACTAAAAAAAAAATAATTATCGTTTTAATAATAGTAATAAAATAATTATATTATCAACAATAGGCAATTATTAGTATTATTTTATTAATAATAATAATTCTTTATTAATAATAAATAGGGAATAATTCTTTAAATAATAATAATAATAAGGAAGTAATTCTTTAATTAATTAATAATAAGAAAATAATTATTTTATCAAATTTAAAGAAATAATCATTTTATTGATAATAATAATAATAATAATAATAATAATAATAAAATAATTATTTTGTCAATTTTAAGGAAATAATCATTTTATAGATGATAATAACAATAAAAAGAAAATAATTATCTTATCAATTTTATGGAAATAATCATTTTATTGATGATAATAATAATAAGAAAATAATTATTTTATCAATTTTTAGGAAATAATCATTTTATTGATAATAATAATAATAATAATAATAATAAAAAAATTCTATTTTCATTCAATTTTCTTTTTCTCTCGCATTTTCTCGATAATATTTTGTTTGTTTGTTTGTTTGTTTTAAATTTAATTAGCTTTGAGCTTACTATTATTACTAAAATCAGCAGCAATATGAGGAGTGCCATTTGTATAGAGCTTCCTCTCGGACTTGGTTCTTGAGCCGCCCAAATACGCCTTGTGAAAGAACCTCGCGAACAATACAAAATAACTGAAATACATTGTTAAACTGTACTTGACATTTAAACTCGTGATGTGACATTCAGTTTGGCTGCTCTCGAGATATTGATAGGCCCAAACATTGATTGCGCAACCGACGACCATTTGCGACAATTGCAATGCAGTGATCACCATTGATATCATTTTCGGTGGCGAGTAACGCATCGCCCTGAGGGCATAGTACGTGTACATTATTGAATGAACAAAATAATTCATGACAACGAACCATCGTGCCGACGCTGTGTATTCGGTGTACGAGAACCATGAATAAAGTAGAACGGTTATATGATGATACCAATGAAGAAATATTAATGGTTGCTTACGAAGTACAATGAATACGGTGTCGCCGAGTTCCGGTAATTTTGAAAGGACAAACATCCATGTCCAAAATCCCGAGACACGATCTTGTTCGATGAAACTGAAATTATACAAAAAAAAAAGAAAAGATTATTTAATTATCTCCAGTTCTTTTTTTTTAAACTAGAATAATATTTATATTTATTTTTTTTATTTCTTAACAAATAAATAAACAAATAAATTAAATTATTTGAAAACTTCAATAATTTTCCCAAAATTTTTAACCAAACTTCTTTAAATCAATTATTTTAAAATAATTTTACGAAAGATCTTTGAGAATTCAATTATTTAAACAAACGGATTTAATTTTTCAGCAAAAATTCAATTATTTAAACAAACAAATTTAAATATTCGAAAAAATTCAATTATTTTAATAATTTTCCGAGAATTCAATAAATTATTGAAATTCAAAAATTCGATTCTTCGATTCAAAATTCAATTATTTAAACAAACAAATTTAAATATTCGAAAAAATTCAATTAAAATTGAAATTCAAAAATTCGATTCTTTGATGCAAAATTCAATTATTTAAACAAACAAATTTAAATATTCGAAAAAATTCAATTATTTTAATAATTTTCCGAGAATTCAATTAAAATTGAAATTCAAAAATTCGATTCTTCGATTCAAAATTCAATTATTTAAACAAACAAATTTAAATATTCGAAAAAATTCAATTATTTTAATAATTTTCCGAGAATTCAATAAATTATTAAAATTCAAAAATTCGATTCTTCGATTCAAAATTCAATTATTTAAACAAACAAATTTAAATATTCGAAAAAATTCAATTATTTTAATAATTTTCCGAGAATTCAATTAAAATTGAAATTCAAAAATTCGATTCTTCGATTCAAAATTCAATTATTTAAACAAACAAATTTAAATATTCGAAAAAATTCAATTATTTTAATAATTTTCCGAGAATTCAATTAAAATTGAAATTCAAAAATTCGATTCTTCGATTCAAAATTCAATTATTTAAACAAACAAATTTAAATATTCGAAAAAATTCAATTATTTTAATAATTTTCCGAGAATTCAATTAAAATTGAAATTCAAAAATTCGATTCTTTGATGCAAAATTCAATTATTTAAACAAACAAATTTAAATATTCGAAAAAATTCAATTATTTTAATAATTTTCCGAGAATTCAATTAAAATTGAAATTCAAAAATTCGATTCTTCGATTCAAAATTCAATTATTTAAACAAACAAATTTAAATATTCGAAAAAATTCAATTATTTTAATAATTTTCCGAGAATTCAATTATTGAAATTCAAAAATTCGATTCTCCGATTCAAAATTCAATTATTTCAAATAATTTACCGAATTTTTTTCGAGATTTGAATAATTTAAATAAAAAAATTCAATTTTCAGTTAATAATTCAAATATTTAAATTTCAATTATTCAAAGACAAAAATTCAATTTTTATTTAATAATACAATTGCTTTCAACAATTTTCAGAAAGTTCTTCGCAAATTCAATTATTTAAATACTACAAAAACTTTCTCTAAAGTTCTTTAAGAATTCAATTAATTTAAATACAAAGATTACATTTTCAGATAAAAATTCAATTATATTATTTAAATACAAAAATCAATTTCTTTATAAAAATTCAATGATTTAAATACAAAAATTCAATTTTTCGATACAAAATTCAATTGTTTTAAAGACTTCTCTCAAATTTTTTAAAAAATTTGAGTTATTAAAATATAAAAATCCAATTCTTTAGAATAATTTTAAGAAAGTTTTTCGAAAGTTTATTAATTATTTAAACACAAAAATTTGATTTTTCGGAAAATATTTCATTCAAGTTTTTATTTACAATATTATAATTTTCAGAAATTTATTAGACAATTAAATTATTTAAATACAGAAACACAAATTTTCGACAAAAAATTTAATGTATTTTAAATAATTTTCGAAAATTTTTTTGAGATTTGAATTATTTAAAGATAAAAATTAAATTATGTTTAATAATTATCTGCAAGTTCTGCAAGAATACCTACAATTGATTTTTTTTTAAATAATTTTTCTAAATTTTTTTGAGAATTTAAATATTTAAATACAAAAATTCAATTATTCTTAACAATTTTCCCACATTTTTTTTTGAGATTCGAGTTATTTAAAAATAAAAATTCAATTATTTTTAAAAATGTCTCAAAATTTCATCGACAATTCAATTATTTAAACAAACAATAATTTTTCGGCAAAAATTCAATTATTTTAATAATTATCCCAGATTTTTTCGACAATTAAATTACTTGAATACAAAAACACAAATTATCGATAAAAAATTTAATTATTTTAAATAATTTTCCAAAAATTGATTTTGAAATTTGAGTTATTTGAATATAAAAACTCAATTTTGAGATAATAATTTAATTTTTTTTAATAATTTCTCGAAAATTCTTTAAGCATTCAATTAATTTAAATTTAAAAAAAGATTTTTTATAGAAATTCAATTAATTCAAATACTTTGACAAATATCTTTCGAGAATTCAATTATTTAAATATAAAAATTCAATTATTTTAAATAAGTTTCCGAAATTTCTTTAACATTTAAGTCAATTAAAAATAAAAATTAAATTATTTTTAAAAATGTCTCAAAATTTAATCGACAATTCAATTATTGAAACAAACAAATTTATCATTTTTCAGCAAAAATTCAATTATTTTAATAATTATTATCTAAGATTTTTTTGAGAATTCAATTATTTAAAATAATATTCCGAAATTTTTTCGAGATTTGAATTATTTAAATAAAAAAAAATCAATTTTTAGATGATAATTCAATTATTTTAAATAATCTTTCGAAACATCTTCAAAAATTCAATTTTTTAAATGCAAAAAACAACTTTTTGATTAAAATTCAATTACATTTCTAATAATTTTCCAAAAGTTTTTCAAGAATTTAATTATTTAAACAATTCAATTTTTCGATAAAAATTCAATTATTTCGAATAATTTTCTGAAAGTTTGTCGAGAATTCAATTTTATATTTAAATACAAAAATTCAATTTTGAGATAAAAATTCAATTGTTTTTGATAATTTTCTGAAAATTCTAAAAAGAAGTTATGTAAATTATGGTAAATTCCATTACGTAAATTAAAAGTAGAAAAGAAAAATACTCTTTTTCCTTCCAGTTTATTAAAATTAAATTATCTATTTTTCTTTATCTTATAATTTATTTTCTATTTTACTTTTATTTATTATTAAAGTTTCATAAGTATTATCTACCTTTGGTTTTTTTTTTCTCAAAAATTATCGCACTTTAGAAAGCATTTTTAGAAATGAGTCAATCGAGTGAAATTCATTTGGCATATTTAAAACGAAAACAAATTTTAATTTACATATTTATTCTTTTAAATCTCTATATAGATTCAATGTCAGAAATTTGTTTTCGAAAAAAATTTCTCATTTTAATGACCGGTAATAAAAATTATTGTATTTTTAAGTTTCTTATTTTGCATGCAGGAATTTTTTGATTGAAAGTGAAATTGAAACGCAAATATACAATTTAAATAAATTCAATTTTTAACTATTATTAAAAAATTAAAATCAATTAAAAAATTTGTATATAAAATTTAATTTTCTCCTCACTTGAAACTTAAATAAATCAAAAAAATTTGCTTATAAAAGATGAATTTTTCCTTATTTGAAACTGAAATTAATTTAAATTTTCTTATAATTGAAGTTTTCCTTATTTAAAACTTAAATCAATTAAAATTTACATTGAAAATTTAATTTTTCCTCATTTTAAACTTTAAATCAACTAAAATTTACGTAAAAAAATGGAATTCTTCCTGATTTGAAATTTAAAAATCAAAAATTTATAATAAAAGTAAAGAATATTGAAATTTCAAAAATATAATTTAATTTGAGATTAAAAATATTAGATTTTACCGAAATTTACTTTTAAAAATTGTGAAAAGAATTTAAAAAATTAAAATTTTTGCAAAGAATTTTATTAAAATTTTTGAAAATAAAATTAAATTTCTCAGAGAAATTTTATTATTTATAAAAGATAATTGAATTTTTTCAAAAAAATTTATATTTAAATATTTCGAAAAATAATTTTAATTTTTGTGAAGAATTTTATTAAAAAACATTTAGTCAAGAATTTAATTGTTTCGATAAATTTTTCAATATATTGAATTGAAAATAATTGAATTCTTTTATAGAATTTTTATCAAAATTTTTGAAGTTAATTGAATTCTTTATAAAAATTTTTACTATAATTTTCAAAAAGGAAATTGAATTCTAACGAAGAATTTTATTATTAGAAAAAACAATTCTTTCGAATATTGTATTATAATTTTTTCGAAAAATTATTCCAAAAGTTCTGTTACAATTCAATTATTCAAATAAAAAAAACCTTTTATTGATAAAAATTCAATTGTTTTTAATAAAGAATTTTTGAGAAATAATTTTTAAAAAATCATGTTTTTGAAGAATTTGAATTAAAATCTTTGAAATTTATTATTTTTTCCAAAATTTTATTGATAATTCTATAAATAAGTAGATTTTAAAGAAATTTAATAAAATATTTTTTTAAAAATTCATTTTTTTTTTATAAAAAAAAAAAATCCTTTAGAAAAAATAGAAAATAATTTGAAATTTATTAATGAATTGAATAAAATTAAAATGAATTGAAAAAAAAGAATAGAAAGAGAATGGAAAAATTGAATAGAAAATAAAGAAAAGCAAAGTTTGGAATTTAAGAAATTTTCAGTGATTTTAAAAAAGAAGAAGAATAAGAAGAATAAATTTTCTTTACCTTGGTATGCAGACACTGTGATAAAGTCCATAATTTCTTAATGTGTGAATCAATTCAGGAGCAGTTCTCGTGAATCCAATAATAGAAAATGACGCTAATAGAGTGTTCCACAAACTCAGTACACCCCTTAAATTATACTTTGGTCGGCTCGCCATAAAATGTTGACCGCCAAATATTAATATCATATAAATACCACAAAAATAAAAGCCATTTGTCCAATTTTTTCTCATCCATATCCTCGTGTCTTGATGAATAAATTTCTCCTCAAAATTGAACACATAGGAATAATTTGGTAGTGTTACTTCCCTGTAATCCATTTTTTTTGTTTCTTTTCACCTATAACTGCAAAACAATACAAAAAAAACAAAAAAAAAAAAATTACTTCAAAAATTTGCTACTATACCACAAAAAATTCTATTTTTTTGTTACTCTCTCAAAAAAAGTCACAAAAAAAAACCTTTAAATTTCTATCAAAAATAGAAAAAAAAATATCAAACCTGTCGTAGAAAAATAGTTTCGAACCCCACGTGGAAAAAGATATTTTCAATTCCAAAGAATCGATAATAAAGCACTTTTTTTCCTCTTGTTAACGCACTGAAAACCCGGCGATAAATATAATTGAGGTTAAGTTTTACGCATAGGAAAAAGTCACATGAGCCGGTAAAATGTTAATAATTCATTTAAACACAGCAAACAACTCTTTTATTTATTCAGAATCAATAGTTTGTTTTGAAAACTTCCCCGAATAAACAATCAGTGTGATATTATGATTAATAATCATACAAGGAAAAAGTCTACATAACGTGTGGAACACACAAACGAGAGAGGAACACACGGCACCAAAAAATGACTATATATATATATACGATTTTTAAAATACTGAAAAAAAAAATTCAATATGTTTTATATTACACTTTATAAATTTTCAGAGGTGAAAAGAAAAAAAATTCCCCTAACTGAAAATGTGCACGTATTTATAATAAGAAGGCGCGGTAAATACTTTTTTTTTTTAATTAATTATAATACGAAAAACGGTATATGACACGAAATTGATTTTTTTTTCTCTCATTGCCAAGTCCAAATGTGTAGAGAGAAAAAGGAATGTTCACGGAGTGATTGTGAAACACTCGGGTTGAAATATATCGACAATGTATCGTGTGTTGTGTTAAGACACTGGACACACCGACACACGGTGGATATTTTTTTTTCTCTACGAAAAACTGGAGAAATCGTTTCTCAGGGTTGGGAAGTTAAAGATGGTGAATATTCGAATATTCACCGTCGCCAGCGACCCAACCCTGAGAACAACGGGGAGCAGGGATGGGTAAAAGTGTTTTTTTCGGAGTTTTCTACGTATAATACATAAATGACGTATAATACGTAGAAAATTGTAGAAAACCTGGTATTATACATGTCCAGTTCTGCGCATGCGTACAAACCTCACAATAATAATAAAAATCATATGTTTGATTATTTTTTATTTGTTTCCTGGTTTTCATTACTAAATTGTTGCTAAAAATACCAAGAAAAAACCAAAAAAGGTTACATATAAGGTAAGTTTACAAAAAAATGCGTATAATATATATTTATTGATTTTTCATATGGTTTTTTACACACATTTTTTCATAACTTGTATTATATATTTATATAGAACAATTTTAAAAAGACACGTTAATTTATTATTTATTTGAAAATAAACGGGTTTCAAATAAACTTTTTCATACAAAAGTACTAAATTATTATTATAGCTGTATTTTGCAATGTTTTGTTGCAAATAGGACACAGGGCAACATTTTTCCCTTTATTATTTTTGGGAATAAAACACAATTCCTCCCAGGAATTGTGTTTCGGCCTTCCACCTCTTTTGTTAATTTTTTTTTATTTTAAAAAAAGCAATATTGTACAACAATCACTGACACATGGCCTGGCACATGGAGATGTATAACCTATAAATGGGTCTGGCGGCAGCAGACAACCTGACCTGACCACGAACAGTTAGAACTTTGTTTGTGTGCTATTTCTTTAAAACATAAATTTTAAAAAAACTTTTCAATGTTAATTAATAAATTTTTAAATTGAAATTATGTTTAAAATTTATTTAATATACTATTAAAATCACATGTTTCTTGTCTAAAATTTAAAAATCCCGCGCGTCACGCAATGTATGTAAAATACATGACATACGTAGAAAACTAAAGATGTATAATACCACGTATTATACGTGTAGAAAACCAGGTATAATACATCATGTATAATACGTACCCATCCCTGACGGGGAGAGAATTTAAAGGTGAGTTCACATCCCTTTAAAACTGTGTAATTGTTGTTTAATTTAACTATCCAACCTTGCTATTCCCCTAGGAATAAAAATAAATAATTATTATTTAATTAAATTAAATTAAAATAAATTGTTGTTTTCAAAAAATATTCGAAATTCAATTATTCAAATTCTGGAAAAGAATTCAATTATTTAAAAAAAAAAAAATGATAAAATTCATTCAAAATTCAATTATTTTCACAAATAAAATTTATAACAATGTTTATCAAATTCTTATGAAGAATTCAATTATTTTCAATAAATAACAAAATTTTTCACAGAAATTCAATTCTTTTTAAACAAATTTTAATAAAATTTTTCACATAAATTCAATTCTTTTTTAACCATTTTAATAAAATTCTTCTCAGAAATTCAATTATTTTTAAAAATGTTAATAAAATTTTTAACAAGTATTCAATTATTTTTAATAAATTTTTACAGAAATTAATCAAAAAATTTAATTTCAAATCCTAGGAAAAATCAATTATTTATAAAAAAAATGATTTTTAAACTTCTTTGAAAGAATTTAATTATTTATAAAAATATAAGAATTTTTCACAATAATTCAATTATTTTTATTAAAAACTAAATTTATCACAAGAATTGAATTCTTTTTTTCGCAATAATTCAATTATTTTCATAAACACTAAAATTATTCTCAGAAATTCAATTATTTTTTTAAATATTAGAATTTTTCACAATAATTCAATTATTTTTACAAACACAAAAAAATTCTTTACAAAAATTCAATTATTTTCTGAAAAAATTAAACTCTTTTCAAGAATTCAATTATTTATAATAAAAACTAATTTTTCTCACAAGAATTGCATTCTTTTTATGAATTTTAATCCAAATTTCGCAATAATTCAATTATTTTCATAAACAATAAAATTATTTTCAGAAATTCAATTACTTTTAATAATTTTAAAAAAATTCTTTGCAACGATTCAATTATTTTCATAAATAATAAAATTTATCGCAGGATTTTAATTATTTTTAATAAATTTTTACAGGAATTGATCGAAAAATTTAATTATTCTTAAAAATTTAATTTCAATTCCTAGAAAAAATCAATTATTTATAAAAGAAATTATTTTTAAACTTCTTTGAAAGAATTCAATTATTTATAAAAAAATATTGGAATTTTTCCCAATAATTCAATTATTTTCATAAACAATCAAATTATTCCCAGAAATTATTTTCATAAATAACAATATTCATCAGAAGAATTTAATTATTTTTAAAAGTAATAAATTTCTTCTTGGAAATTCAATTATTTTAAAAAATTCCAATTAAAATCGTTCGCAAGAATTCAATTATTTTCATAAACAATAAAATTCTTTTTTAGGAATTCAATTATTTTCAAAAGTAATAAATTTTTTCGTAGAAATTCAATTATGTTCAAAAAATTTCACAAGAATTCAATTATTTACAAAATATTTTTAGAAATTTCTTGAAAATAATTCAATAATTATTTTCTTTTTAGGAATTCAATTATTTTCATAAATAATAAAACTCATCGCTGAATTTCAAATATTTTTAAAATACAATTTTAATTGAATTTTTTTTTAAATTTTGTCAAAATTCGTCGAGAGAATTCAATTATTTAAAAATTTGTTGATAAGATTTTTTATGAGAATTCAATTTTTAAAAAAATTCAATTATTTAAAAATTAATGAAATTCATTGTCGGATTTCAATTATTTTTAATACAATTTTATACGAATTGATCGTAAAATGTAATTATTCCAAAAAATTTAATTTCAATTCCTCGAAAAAATCAATTAGTTAAAAAAAATTGTTTTTTTTAACTTCTTTGGAACAATTCAATTATTTACAAAAATATTAGAATTTTCCAGAGGAATTCAATTATTTTCAAATGCAATCTTAATTAAATTTTTTTTGAAATAATTCAATTATTTAGATTTTAATAAAATTCTTTCCAAGAATTCAATTATTTTCATAAGATTTCCAAAGAAAATTCAATTATTTAAAAAATTTTTTCAAAAATTTTCAAAAGAATTTAATTTCTTTTCATGAATAATAAAAATTTATCAGAAATTGAATTATTTAAATAAGAATTTGCATAAAATTAGTCGAAAGAAATGAATTATTTAAAAATTTTTCTAAAAATCTTTGTAAGAATGAAATTATTTTTCTAAATATTGAAACTCTTTGATAAAATAATAAATAATAAAATTCGTTGACCGTACTAAACACAAATAAATAAATAAAAATTTTTTTTTCAAAATTTAAATATCCCAAACACTTATTGATCATATTTTTTATTAATTTATTATTTATCTACTATTTTTTTCGATTATTTCGAGATTAATAATATATTACAATTGCGCACGGAATATAACTCTTTTTTTTCAATATATATAATAATAATAATAATAATAATAATATAATAACAACGATTCATTTCGTACTGTAAATACCTATATATATATAACAATAGTACTCGAGTTTTTTTTTATGGCAAATTTTTTTCTTTTTTTTTTTCTTTCTCAAGAATTTACGAGTCTTTATTATTTATTAATTATTATTATTAATAATAATTGAATTAGTCTTTAAATCTATATTCGGACATTTTCTGAAATTGTCATCTAAATGTCTTTTTTTTTTTTACTAAAAAATGAAAATAAAAAAGAAAAAGAAAAAGACGAAAAGAAAAATAGAAAGAAAAATGTATATTATACTTAGAAAAAAGAACACATTTTTTAAAAAAATATTTGCCATAAAATTTCCGAGTTTAGAAGATAATGAAAGTTTAGACGAAAAGAAAAAGAAAGAAACGAAAATAAAACAAATATTCGTCTATAGGATTTAGCGTGCATTATTTGCGAGTTATTCTTTCACTACTTGGATACAAAACCAAAAAGAAAAAAAAAAGGGAAATAATAACTTTCGCAGACAAAAAAAAATATTTCGCACTTGATTGATGGTATGAATAAGAATAATATCTAATAATTACAAATGATAATAAAAATAGTTACTAATAATTACAAATAATAATAAAAATAGTTACTAATAATTACAAATAATAATAAAAATAATTACTAATAATTACAAATAATAATAATAATAATTGCAAATAATAATAAAAATAATTACTAATAATAAAATTAATTGCTAATAATAAAAATAAAAATAATAATAATAATTACAAATAATAATTATAATAATTTTTCCTAGTAAAAAAAAGAAACATTTTACTAAAAATAATAGAAAGAATTACTAATGATAATAGAATATTTACTAAAAATTATGAAAATAATTTCTAAATTGATAGAAATATTGACTAAAAATAATTTGCTAATAATAGAAATAATTACTAAAAACTAAAAATAATGAAAATAATTGCTAAAAACTGAAAATAATTAAAACAATTACTAATAATAGAAGTAATTACTAAAAATTGAAAATAATTACTAATAATAGAAATAATTACTAAAAATTAAAAAAAAATTAAAACAATTACTAATAAAAACAGAAGTAATTACTTAAAATAATAGAAGTAATTACTAAAAATAAAAGAAACAATTACTAAAAATAATAGAAATAATTACTAAAAATAAAAGAAACCATTACTAAAAATAATAGAAATAATTACTAAAAATAATAGAAAGAATTGCTAATAATAATAATATTTACTAAAAATAATAGAAAGAATTGCTAATAATAATAATATTTACTAAAAATAATAGAAAGAATTGCTAATAATAATAAAAATAAAAATAACAATTATAATAATAATTACTAATAATAATCAAAATAATAATTACATATGATAAAAATAAGAACAATAATAATAATTAATAATTAATAATATAATAATAATAATAATATAATAATAATGATATAATAATAATAATAATAATAATAATAATATAATATTTATAATTACATTCTATTAACTTTAAATGCTTTAAAGTATATACCGATTACCCGGTTATCCTTTTATGGCATTTTTCCATTTTCTAAACACCGTTGGCATTCAGTTTATTTTTCATTTATATTCACTTCTTTTTTTGTTTTATTTATGTATAATTTCATTTTCTTCTTCTTCTTCTTCTTCTTCTTCTTCTTCTGCTTCTTCTTTTTTTTAAAATAAATTTATAATCGTTACCAAATACAAATTTTTGGTCTTTCGACGAACTTATCGTAGAATTTTTTTTTTGTTTTTCGTTTTCACATAATTGTCTCTTTGTTATTACTATTATTATTTTCTTTTTTTGTTTTTGTTTTTTAAAATTTACAGTCTTCACTTTATTTGCGGCTTTAAATGCTGCAAAAATTCGTAATAACTCAGAGCCGATTCGAAACGATCTTCAACTAATCTTTCAGTGAATTGTGTCCTAAAGTGACTGTCTTCCCTGGAAAAATAGAAATAAATATTTTATTTAATTAATTTACTTAAATAATATTTATATTTTCAATAATTCCTCGCAAGAATTCAAATATTTTTAGAAATAATAAACTTCTTCGCACCACTTAATTAATTTTTAAGAAAATATCTGAAAAGAATTCAATTATTTTTAATTCAGAACTAATTATATTTCTCGACTACTATCTAATTCAATTATTTTCATAAAATATTAAAGATTCTTCGCAATATTCAATTATTGTTAATTTTAATAAAATTTCTTGAATGAATTTTCAATTATTTGCAAAATTGTCTAAAACATTCTTTGTCAAAAATTCAATTATTATTAAAATAATGAAAATCTTCGAAGAAATTCAATTATTTTCAACAAAATTTCTCAAAAAAAATTCAATTATTATTTTTAAAAATTTTATTAAAATTCTTCATAGGATTTCAATTCTTTACAATAAATTTCTTTAGTGAATTCAATTATTTTCAAATATGTCAATAAAATTCTTCACAAGAATTCAATTACAAAAAAAATAATAATAAAAAATTCAAAAGAATTCAATTATTTGCAAAATTGCCTAAAACATTCTTTGCCAAAAATTCCACTATTTTTAAAAATTTTATTAAAATTCTTCATAGGATTTCAATTATTTTCAGTACAATTTAAATAAAATTTCATCAAAGATTTCAATTATTTTTCTAAACAAAAAAATTCAATTATTGATAAAATTCTTTATAAGAATTCAATTATTTTCTAAAAATTAAAAAATATATTACAATTCAATTATTTTCAATACAATTTGAATAAAATTTCATCAAACAATTCAATTATTTTTCTAAATAATAAAATTTTTGGAAAAAATTCAATTATTTTCTAAATAATAAAATTCATCAAAGAAATTCAATTATTTTCAATGTTCAATTTTAATTAAATTTCTCAAAATATTTCAATTAATTTTCATAAATAATCAAATTTCTCTTAGGAATTCAATTATTTTCAAAAATTTTAATAAAATTCTTCACCGGAATTCAAATATTTTTAATAATTCCACTAAAATTCTTTGAAAAAAGTTCAATTATTTTCATAAATAATTAAATTCTTTAGCGGAATTCAAAAATAATTTGAATAAAATTTGTAGAAAAAATGTAATTATTTTCAAAATTTTTCAATCAAATTCTAGGCAGGAATTTAATTATTTTTGTAAATAAAAAAATTCTTTTCTAAAGGATTCAATTATTTTTATGAATAAAAAAATTTATTACAAGAATACAGTTATTTTTATAAAATATAAAAAATTCTTCGCAATATTAAATTATTTTTAATTTTAATAAAATTTCTTGGAAAGAATTCAATTAATTTCAAAATTGTCTAAAAAATTCAATTATTTTCAAAATTGTCTAAAACATTCTTTACAAAAATTCAATTATTATTAAAAAAATAAAATTCTCCGTAGAAATTCAATTATTTTTAGTAAAATTTCTCAAAAAAATAATAAAAAAACTTGAAAATATTTAATTATATCCAAAATTGTTTAAAAAAAATTTCTTGAAAGTATTCGATTATAAATAAATTTAATAAATAATTAACGAACCTGATTATTTGAAGAGACACATAATATGGTTTTTCTTCTTGTAGACTAAATACGAAATTGCAGAGTTTTTCGGAGTCCGGATTCGAGAATTCAGGCAATTCATACTAGATTTTTGAAAGAAAAAAACAGAAAAACAAATTAATTAATAAAATTTATCACTTAAAATTTGAATAAAAATAGAAAATTTATTTACAATGAAAAAGAAAAATAAGGAAAAACAGAATTTATTATTGCAAAAAGAAAGAAAAATATCTAGAAAACATAGAATTTATCAAGAAACGAGAAAAAATAAAGAAAAGAAAAATTTATTTAAAATAAAAAGCAAATAAGTAAAAAAAAAAATATTTATAAAAAAGAAAAATGTGAAGAAAAATAAAATTTATTTATCAAAAAAAGAGAAACATAATTTATTTATCGAAAAAAGAAAAGAATAAATAAATTTAAAATCTTGATTGATAAATAAATAAATAAAATAGAAATTAAAAATTTCTGTATAGAAAAAGAAGAAAAAATTAAATGAAAAAAAGTTTCAAAAAAATAATTAAAAAGAGAATAAAAAATCGGAAAAAACTAAAAATGTCACTTACCATTTCTTCGGGTAATGAAGTAAAATCAGGAACTCCAAAGTAATTGGAATAAATTGTTGGACTGCAATTTTTGCCAACGTAGATGAGAATTTTATCGCCCGTATCCAATAGGAAAACACCTCGTGAATCGAGTTTCTCCGCGGACAAATGCATTCTTTCCGGCTGTGGACAAATACGACCCTCAATATCCTTCACGTGTTGCTTATCGTTTAACGAATGCACTGCATAAAGATCGGGATATATCGTTTGAATTAATTGCGAGAGAGGTAGTGTTTTTAATTGGCACATGGCGAAAATTCTATCGTCGACACGCGTATTCATTCCCGATCTGAACGCCACCTGCAAATTTCATAATTTCGAATTTAATTATCTTTATTTTTACATATATTTAAATTTTTCGAAAGAATCCAATTATTTTCTATGCAATTTCAATTTCTTCCTTTTTTCAATTTTAATAAAATTTCTCGAAAGAAAAAAAATTAATTTAATTTAATTAAATTAAAATTAAAAATAAAATAAAAATAAAATAAGTTTGATGATAAATTTGATTTAGATAAAAAAAAAGATGATGATAGAAATTACTTACGCATTTTAGTAAGGCAATAATATAAAGAGGTAATAATTTGAGATTTTCAGGTGCAAGAAGACCTGCAATGGTCGACGATTGCGATACTTTGTATGATGAGAGCATATCAACGGCAGCATTAATTAGCGCGTCTCTCGCGTCCGACAACGACGACTGCAACGATCTGTCGACGGCCATTTTCGATAAGAGACCTATTATACATTGCGAGTCGGCCGAATGCAAAATATCCTGCAGGCTATTCGTCACTGGCAAACAGAGCGTGTGAACTCTTATTCTCCTCTCTCCTGCAAAAAGAAAAAAAAAACAATCAATAATTACATCCAAAACTCAATAATTACATTATTTATAATTATGTACTTTCATCTTAGGATTAGAATAATTTAAACGGAATTTTTAATTCAAATTTATCAAGAAAGAAAGAAAAAAAAACAATGGAAAATAAAGAAAGCAAAAACTGAAAAAGCAAGTTAATGACGCAAAAACAAAAAAGGAAAAATAAAAAAACAAAAACGGAAAAATAAAAAAAGGCAAAAATAATAGAAGCAAAAACGAAAAAAACTAAAATAAGAAAAGACAAAAATAAAAAAGTAAAAATAAAAAAACAAAAATGGAAAAATAAAAAAAGGCAAAAATAATAAAAGCAAAAACGAAAAAAACTAAAATAAGAAAAGACAAAAATAAAAAAGTAAAAATAAAAAAACAAAAACGGAAAAATAAAAAAAGGCAAAAATAATAAAAGCAAAAACGAAAAAAACTAAAATAAGAAAAGACAAAAATAAAAAAGTAAAAGAAAAAAACATACATAAGAAAAACAATTAAAACAAAGAAAAAAAAGTAAAAATAAAAACGGAAATAAAATAAAAATTGAAATAACGAATTATTATACAAATTACAAACTTTTTTATTTTTCATAATCAAAATTTTTAAAATTCACTTATTAACTACATAATTAATTATTAATATTATTATTGTTTATATTTTCAACAATTTTAATATAATTCTTCACGAGAATTCAATTATTTTCATAAATAATAATAACAATCTTCGGAAGAATTCAATTATTTTTGATAAATAGTAAAATTCTTTATAGGAATTCAATTATTTTCAAAATACAATTTTAATAAAATTTCACGAAAGAATTCAATTATTTTCAGAAATTTGAATAAATCCATTGAAACAATTCAATTATTTTTTTAAATATAGTAAAGTCTTTGCAAACATTCAATTATTTTCAATTATTTTAATTTTTTCCTTCTCGTTTTCTTATTTAAAATCTTTTTTTTCTGTAAAATTCCTTAAAAAAATCCTTAATTTTCCAAACGTTTAATAAATTTCTTGAAAAATATTCAAATAGCTTCTTTAAAACTTGATAATTCGAAAATTCAATTATTTAAAAAATAATTAATATAAATCTAAAAGAGATTTACTCTCAAAAATTTAAATTGAATCTTTTCGTGAAATTTTATTAAAATTATTGTATTTAAAATAATTGAATTCCAATAAAGAATTTTACTATATTTAGGTATAAAAATAATTGAATTTTTTTTAGAAGAATTTCAATTAAAATTTAACATTGAAAAATGAGAAAAAATATTGAAAATAATTGAATTTTTCCGAAGAATTGAAATTCTTTTATGAAAATAATTGAATTTTGGCCATAAAATTGAAAATAATTGAATTTTTCCGAAGAATTGAAATTCTTTTATGAAAATAATTGAATTTTGGCCATAAAATTGAAAATAATTGAATTTTTCCGAAGAATTGAAATTCTTTTATGAAAATAATTGAATTTTGGCCATAAAATTGAAAAGAAATAATTTGCAAGTAATTCAATTCTTTCAAGTAATTCAATTAGAATTGAAAATAGAATAACTTAAAAATAATTTAATAATTGTATAGATTTGTATCAAAATTTAAAAATAATTTTAAATCTCTTAAAGAATTTTGTAAAAACTTTTGAAAATAATCGAAATTTTCTGAAGGATTTCATAAAATTTGTCAAAGGAATTCAATTATTTAAGAAAAAAATTTTAAATAAACTTCTTCGGAAGAATTCAATTATTTTTCTAAATATAGTAAAATTCTTTATAGAAATTCAATACAATTTTAATGAAATTTCACGAAAGGATTTAATTAAATTTTTTTCCAATTTTTCAGAAAATTTTTCGAAAGAATTCAATTATTTTCTAAACTTCTAATAAATTCTTCGGAAGAATTAAATTATTTTCAATATTTTTTCTCATTTTTCAATTTTAAATTTAAAAAAAAAATGTTAATGAAATTTTTCGATAAAAATCAATTATTTAAAACAAATGTCAATGAAATTTTTCGATAAAAATCAATTATTTTCAACAACTTTTATAAAAGAGAATTCAATTTTAATGAGAATTCAATTTTAATTCAATTTTTTTGTTAGAATTTTATTGCTTTCATAAATTTTAATAAAATACTTCAATTATTTTCATGAATGATAAAATTCTGATAAAATTATTTTCTAAATCTTTGATAAAATTGTTTATAAGAATTCAACTTTTTTTTTTAACTGGATTTGTTAAAATAATTGTTGAATTTTTTGATAATTGAATTTGAAAATTGTGAAGAGAAATTCTTTTTTGAAAAATTGTAATTAAAATTTTTTGAAGATTGTCCAATTACCGAAAATAATTTTTAAAAAAATTGAAACTATTGGAAATTTTGTCGAATTTCATTGCAATAAATTTTAAAGTTTAAGGAATTTTATTTTTTTACTTGTAAAAATTGAACTCAAACTGTATTTTTGTAGAATTCTAACTAAATATTTGGAAAATAGTTGAAATTCGAAAAACATTAATTTAGAAATTTAATTTAATTAATTGAATTAAATTTATCGAATTGAATTAATTGAATTGAATTAAATTAATTGATTTGAAAGGAATTAAATTGAATTAAATTAATTGAATTGAATTGAATTCATTGAATTGAATTAATGAAATTAAATGAAAAGTACCTTTGCTTGATGTGTAGAGTAAGGCGGCTTGGAAAGAAATATTCTGCACGTCGGATAAAGTTTCATCGATTGAAACTTGCATTCCAAATCCAGCGTCCGGATTGACATTTGGCAGACTCAATAAGTCAGTGGATCTAACGAAGAAATTACCATGAAACGAATGAATACTTAATCCACGTGAGCAACGAATTCTCATCACGGCTTCGAATCCAATTTTCCTCGTCAAATAACGACGTAATGTGCGATCGAGCGTCTCGGCACTCGACGATTTCGATATTCGGAACAATGGAATGTGATATATACAACCGCCAGAAAATTTACACATACCGGCTGCAAAAAGAAAAAGAATAAAATTGTAAATTTTTATTATTTTAATCATCAATTAATATTTTTAAAATTATAAATAAATTTAAAAATAAAGAAAAATAGAAAAATAATAAATTTTTTCCAAACTTTTCATAGCATTCACATACAAAATTTGAAAAATTTAAAAATAGATAAAATAATATAAAAAGTTTAAGCAGAATTTATGTTAACTTACAAAGTGTCGCTAAATCACTGTACTGCGAATTCAGAAGAAACAGATCAATAGCAATTTGTTGACTGCTGCAATCGAGAGCAAGACGTTTGTAAAAATCGGTGACGGGATTTAAATTTGGAACGTCCTTATTGGTGCGAGTGCTCGGATCTTCTCGCGGTTGAAGAGCGCCTGGACCGATATTTGGAAGGCAAGTTTGAAAAACGGTAACTCGACCTCCAGTCGGTGCCTGTAATTTATAATTATCAATTATTATTATTTGTTATTAATTAACAAATTACTTCAAAATACTATTTTTAATTTATAACAATTATTACTAATTATGAATATTTCTCGAGTAATTGAATTAAATTTGGAAACATTGCTTTGAATAATTATAAACGTCACTTTGTAATTTTGCAATTTGAATGAAAATAAAATTTCGTACCATGAGTTTATAAGCGGCTTGTAGTGCAGCGCCTAGAGCACATTGTGTGTCGTGTGTTCCCTCAAATTTCGAGGGCAGTTGCTTTAAAAGCATATCGACCAGAGCACCTCTTTCTTTCAAATTAACTATCAAATTCTCCGGACAGGGTAAAAATACATCTGAAAAATAAAATTCACTTCTAATAACTGCTGATAATAAATATAATACTTATAATAGTGAATACAAACATTAATACTAGAAAAACTACCAATAATACTAGAAAAGTACATTAGTACATTTTTTTACTATTTTATATTATTACTATTTTTATATTTTAAAATATTAAATTAAATTTACAAATTAAACTACGACTTTTAATCGAAAACAATTTTGTTCAAAAAAAAAATACTACTAATAGTACTAAAAACCAAAATAGTTAATAATATAAAATTTAGAGAGGAATTTGTACCTTCGACATCGAGCATTATCATTTCATGGGGCTGCGAAACGCCGTCCGCTAAGCTGAAGAAATGAATTGCCGAATCAATTGCAATAAATCCAATTTGCATTCTCCCATCGCCAGGCATTTTCGAAATTTCTTCCTCAATTGTTTTGCAAACAACACTTAAATAACCACTTTCGACAGCGAGTCTCGAGACATCCAAGACGAACAGATAAACCGCCGGTTGCGGTGGACGGAGCTGAAAAAAGAAAAAAAACGGTAATATTCATTAATTACCTGAAATAATTTTATAAAGAAGAAAAATGATTCAAAAATATTCAAAAATAATTAAATCAGAGTTGCCACAAATATTTAATTTTATTTTTCCCTGATTTCCAGACAAAATTTTCACTTTTTCCCTGACCATAAAGAATATTCTGATTCACTCTAAAAATTATTAGATACTCAAAAAAAACATTCTATTACATTTACTTACGAATTTCTTAAATTGTAAAATTATTCGAAAAATTATAATAAAATTCTAAGCAAGAATTCAATTATTTTCATAAATAATAAAAATTCTTCACATGGTTTCAATTATTTTTAATACAATTTTAGATAAATTTCTCGAAAAATAAAATTATCTTCAAAAATTTTTTACAAGAATTAAATTAGGTACATTTTACCAATAATGAAATTCTTCGCTAAAATTTAAAAATTTTCAAAATTTACTTTTTTAATACAAGTTTTCAAGGGAATATAATTATTTAAATAAAATGTAAGAAAATTCGTTACATAAATTCAATTATTTTTACAAGTAATAAAATTTTTCACATAAATTCAATTATTTAAAAAAAATTGATAAAATTCGTTGTAAGAATTCCATTATTTTCATAAATTATAAAATTTTTCTGAGGATTTCAATTATTTATAATACAATTTAAAGTAAATTCATAGAAAAATGGAATTATTCTCTTAAATTTTTTGTAAGAATTTAATTACATTTCACGAATATAATGAAATTCTTCGTTGAAATTCAAATATTTTCACAATCAACTTTTTTAATAAAAGTTCTGAAAAGAATTCAATTATTTAAAAGAAATGTAATAAAATTCGATGCAGGAATTCAATTATTTTCATAAATAATAAAATTCTTTTCATTATTTCAATTATTTAAAAAAAAATTTGAAAAAATTCATTGCAAGAATTCAATTACCTTCATAAATTAATAAAATTCTTCACAGAACTTCAGTTCTTTTTAATACAATTTTAAGTAAATTATTCGAAAAATTTAATTTTTTTCCAAAAATTTTATTAAAATTTTTCGAAAGAATTCAATTATCAATTATTTTAAAAAATTCATACTATAATGCATTTAATATTCAATTATTATCTAAAATTTTAACTAATATTAATTTTCAAATCAATTTTTATTGGAAAATTCTACAAGAATTAAATTATTTAAATACAAAAATAAATAATTTATTGAATAAATGAATGTTTTTCGAAACTAAATTATCATAAAGAATTTTATCAACAAACTTGAATTTTTTCCAAAAAATTTAATGAAATGTTTAAGAATAATTAAATTTTACGAGGAATTCAATTAAAATTGTATTAAAAATAATTGAAATTCTATGATAAATTTTATTATTCATGAAAATAATTGAATTTTTGTAAAAAAAATGTTATTATTTATGAAAATAATTGAATTATTGCAAAGTTTGCTTAGAATTTTATCAAAATTTTTTTTTAAATAATTGAATTCTTTTGAAAAATTTTATTAAAACTGTAGATATATTGAAAATCATTGAATTGAGAAAAATTATTTGAAAATAATTGAAATTTTGCAAAGAATTTTATTAAAATTTTTGAAAATAATTGAAATTTGGAGACAGAAGAATTTTATTATTTTTAAAAATAATTGAATTTTGACGAGAATTTTAAAAAAATTTTTTAACATAATTGAATTTTTGCGAAGAATTTTATTACTTTTGAAAATAATTGAATTTCTGCAATCATTTGTAACTTCTCCAAAATTCAATTTTTCCAGTTACTTAAATAAAAATCCCTGACTTTTCCCTGACTTCCCTGACCTGTGGCAACCCTGAATTTAATTAAAAAAAATTATAAGCTAAAGAAAAAATAAAAAGTTTACCATATATTCACTGGGTGCGATAAATTCAATTGTGCTTGTTTTCACTTCCGGTCTACGAGATGGATCACCGTAAGATTTTGTCGCTGGATCAAATTGAAATTCGTCTGGAACTATATAGAAAACAAGTTTTGTTAATTTTACATACTTCATATCTTATTAACTAACTAATTATTTTAAGACTAATTATTTTCAAAAATTTTAGTTTTTCTGCAATAATTTTCAAGTAACTATTTTAATATTTTAAAATATTAAATTAAATTTACAAATTAAACTACGATTTTTAATTGAAAAACAATCTTATTCAAATAATTTCTATTATTTTTTACTCTTCGAAGTATTAAATTAAAATGCCATTGATTTTAAAATTCATAATTTTATTTAAAAAAGAAAAATTACCTATGAAAAAAATTAGAAAAGAAGAAAGCTATCAAAAACTATTAACTTCAAACGAATAGAAAAGTTGTTTCAATAAACATTGTGAAAGAGAGAAAAGAGAAAAATTAATTTTCTATAAATTAAAATACATTGTAATACTTACGTTCATTAACGCGGTAACATAAATTACATTTCCATCTCTTCGAATCGACAAAATAGACAAAAGGATTGATATAAGTTCGACACGCTCGACAACGAACAATTGTACTGCATTGTATCACTGCTAAATGCTGCAAAAAGGAAATTAAATTTTTTTTATAAAAAGCAAAAATATTCATTTTGTAACTTTCTTTTGAATTTATTCCTGTTTAGTAATTTATTAATTAACTGGTCTTTTAATCGAACATTAAGTAGCCTTCAATCTGACAATAATTATAATTAAGAATTCTATTTAAAAGAAAGGCGAAAAAAAATTATTTTCCAATTTTTTTTTAAATACCTAAGTTTAAATCATTTTTCTTTATCTTTTTCAATTTTTTTTTTAATACCAAAGTTTAAATAATTTTTCTTTATCTTTTTCAATTTTTTTTTTAATACCAAAGTTTAAATAATTTTTCTTTTTTTTCAACTTTTTTTTAATACCAAAGTTTAAATAATTTTTCTTTATCTTTTTCAACTTTTTTTTTAATACCAAAGTTTAAATAATTTCCCTTTATCTTTTCATTATTATATTACAAATTATAATGAAACGATGAAATAAAAAATTTTATCAAATTATAAAACTAACAAAAAAGATAATTTTGCACTTACGTATAAATCTTTGAAGGGATGAATCAAAACACCCAATGGCAATCTTGATTTTTGTAAAAGGGAATTTGATTCCGGAATTTTTGTCAGCGTACATCGGAAAATACTGCCAATCGAAAAAAATTTAAATTATTAATAATATTCCTAAAAAAAAGAAAAAGACGAATTTCTTATTTTTTTCTTATTAATACTTATAATACATACTCTGGACTGCAGTTAATTTGATCTAAAAATTCTTGATGTAACTTTATTTTAGGCGGTTCGACTTTATCCGTTGGTAAAATATTTCTACATTGAAGAAGATCAACTGTTTCATTTCCCTGAAATTTTTTTTTAATTCTCAATTAGTTTTCCATTTCTTATAATATTCAGAAGAAAAACAAAATTTTTATTTTATTGTCAAAACACAAAGTGTTCAAAAATGAAAAACTATAAAAAAAATTTATAAAACTAGATTTTAAAATCAAAATGAGTTTTAGAATTTAAAAAATAGTAAAATTGAATAAAATTAAAAATTTTTTTAAAATTAAAATAAATAAAATTATTAATAACAATAAAGGAATAAATATTTCAGTGTTAAGATTAAAAAATAAATTGTAGAAATAAAAGTATCTATTAAAATCGAAATTAGTTTTAGAATTGAAATAAAAGTATTAAAATTATAATAAAATGAAAAATAAAATAAAGAAATGTATTGAAATTGAAATAAGTTTTAAAAATAAAATATAAAAAATTGAGAGTTAAATGATAATAATTTACCCATAGTTTATTAAAGCCGGCTTGAGTGACGCCATATCCACTAATTTGACTATTGTGTTGATTGAGTTGATCTGGATAAGCGGTCGGATATCTTTTCGCCATATTATCTAGAGGGACATTCGACATTGGCCTTGGATATTGTGGTCTCGTATCTTGGAGATTTGGCTGAAAAAATATTTTCATTTACTCATTCGTTTAGACAATAAATTGATTGATTCAAAATTTCTTTATTCATTTATTATTATTATTTATTTTTTTTTTATTTCAATTTTGTTACATTTTACTTTCTACTAAAAAAATTACTTTTTTATTAAATCAAAAAATAGAAAAAGTAAGTATGTAAGTAAATAAATAAATATGTAAACAAATATGTAAATAAATAAGTAAATGTCAAAGGATTAACAAGAGTTTTTTTCCATTTTTCTTTCTTTTTTTTTATTTGATTAAAAAAATACAAAATAAAAAAAAATTAAGCGGATTTTAATTTATTCCTTAAATTCTGCTTTATATTCAAGAATTAGTTTTATCATAAAATAATTAATCTAGTTTCAATATCGTTTCTTATCATTATTTATGTTTGTACACCTTGAACACCTGCCTATTTATAATATAGTTTCTCCTAAAAAAAAATTGCTTTTCAAATTATCAATTTTTTCTTTCATAAAATTCTAATAATATTTCTTCTAAAATAAGAAATATTAAAATCATTTTTTATCTCTACTAAATTAAATACTAATTATAGTACAATTTTTTTTTTAAATAATAAAAATATTAATGAAAATTCAACTACGAATTAAAATTAAATCAACTAAAAATTCAACGAAATGAAAATTCTTGTCGAATAAAAATTTCGTAAAATGTAAATTCAATTGAATTAAAATTCTATCGTCGAATTAAAGTTTTGTCGAAGAAAAATTTTCAAAAAAATGGAAATTCAATTGAATTAAAATTCTGTCGAGTGAAAATTTAACAGTAGTTAAAAACCAGCGAATAAAACTTCAATCAAATTAAAATTCTTTCGAATTAATAATTAATAATTCAATTTTTTTTTCAACAAATTTGATACAAATTCTTTAAAAAAATTCAATTATTTTCAGAGTAAATTTTAATTGAATTTCTCGAAATATTTAAATTATTTTTTCATAAATAATAAAATTCTTGGCAGAAATTCAATTACTTTCAAAACATTTCAATAAATTTCGTGTCAAGAATTCAATTATTTTTAAAAATTATAAAATTCTTCGCAAAAATTCAATTATTTTTCAAATAATAATAAAATTCTACGCGAGAAATCAATTATTTTTTTTATAAATAATAAAACTCTTCTGAGAAATTCAATTATATTTTAAAATTTCAATGAAAATTCTTAATAAGAATTTAATTATTTTTCTAAAAAAAAAATAATTCTTCTAAGGATTTTAATAATTGTCAATATTTTAATTTAATTTCTGGAAAGAATTTTAATTTGTTTTCAGAACAATTCAATTATTTTCAAAGAATAACAATAATGATTCTAACACTCGGTTTTCAAATTAATTATGTGTTGAAGTTATAATGATCAATCCGAGTCAAGCCAAAGAATTTTAATTATTTTCAAAGAATTTTAATGACATTCGTAGCAAGAATTGAATTATTTTCAAAAACGTTAAAAACATATTTGGAGGAATTCAATTGTTTTAAATAAAAAATTTAATAAAATTTCTTATAAGAATTCAATTAAAATTCTGTCGAAATAGAATTCAATGGAATTAAAATTCAATTCTAAATTGAAAATTTTGTCGAATTAAAATTCTTGTCGAATAAAACTTTTATCGAATTAAAATTCAATTCTAAACTGAAAATTCAATGGAATTAAAATTTTATTCTACTAAAATTTAATTGAATTAAAATTCTTGTCGAATAAAAATTCTATCGAAGTAAAATTCAATTCTAAATTGAAAATTCTGTCAAACTAAAATTTTATCGAATTAAAATTCAATTCTAAATTGCAAATTATGTCGAATTAATGTTCTTGTTCAATAAAATTCAATTCTAAATTGAAAATTCAATTCTAAATTTAAAATTCTTTCGAGTTAAAATTCTTGTCGAATATAAATTTTATCGAATTAAAATTCAATTCTAAATTCAAAATTCATTGGAATTATAATTCTATTCTACTAAAATTCAATTTTAAATTGAAAATTCAATGGAATAAAAATTTTATCGAATTAAAATTCAATTCTAAATTGAAAATTCAATGAAATTAAAATTTTATTCTACTAAAATTTAATTGAATTAAAATTCTTGTCGAAAAAAAATTCTATCGAATTAAAATTCAATTCTAAATTGAAAATTCAATGGAATTAAAATTATATTCTTCTAAAATTTAAATATAAATTGAAAATTCAATAAATTTCAAATTTAATTCTACTAAAATTAAATTGAATTAAAATTCTTGTCAAATAAAAATTCTATCAACTTAAAATTCAATTCTAAATTGAAAATTATGTCGAATTAATTTTCTTGTTCAATAAAAAATCTATTAAATTAAAATTCAATTCTAAATTGAAAATACAATCGAATAAAAATTTTATCGAATTAAAATTCAATTATAAATTGAAAATTCAATAGAATTAAAATTCTATCGAATTAAAATTCAATTCTAAATTGAAAATTATGTCGAATTAATGTTCTTGTTCAATAAAATTATATTAAATTAAAATTCAATTATAAATTGAAAATTCAATGGAAATAAAATTCTATCGAATTCAAATTCAATTCCAAATTGAAAATTCAATAAAATTAAAATTTTATTCTACTAAAATTTAATTGAATTAAAATTCTTGTCGAATAAAAATTATATGGAAGTAAAATTGAATTCTAAATTGAAAATTATGTCGAATTAATGTTCTTGTTCAATAAAATTATATTAAATTAAAATTCAATTCTAAATTTAAAATTCAATGGAATTAAAATTCTATCGAATTAAAATTCAATTTTAAATTGAAAATTCAATGGAATTAAAATTGTATCGAATTAAAATTCAATTCTAAATTGAAAATTCAATAAAATTAAAATTTTATTCTACTAAAATTTAATTGAATTAAAATTATTTTCGAATTAAAATTCAATTTTAAATTGAAAATTATGTCAAATTAATTATAGAATTTTTTTCGGGTGAATAAAAATTAAAAGAAATTGAAATTTTGTCACATAAAAATTCGTGGAATTTAAAATTCTTTTAAATGAATATTTAAGCAAATTAAAATTTCTGTCGAACTAAAATTCTATAAAATAGTAAATGTAATTAAATTAAAATTCTCACTATCTAGAATTCTGTCGAATTAAAATTCAATTCTAAATTAAAAATTTTTGTCGAATAAAATTTCTATCGAATTAAAATTCAATTCTAAATTGAAAATTATGTCGAATTAATTATAGAATTTTTATTCAGGTGAATAAAAATTTAAAGAAATTGAAATTTTGTCCAATAAAAATTCGTGGTATTTAAAATTCTTTTAAATGAATATTTAAGCGAATTAAAATTTCTGTCGAACTAAAATTCTGTAAAATAGTAAATGTAATTAAATTAAAATTCTCACTATCTAGAATTCTATCGAATTAAAATTTAATTCTAAATTGAAAATTTTTGTCGAATAAAATTTCTATCGAATTAAAATTCAATTCTAAATTGAAAATTCAATGGAATTAAAATTATATTCTTCTAAAATTAAAATATAAATTGAAAATTCAATAAATTAAAAATTGTATTCTACTAAAATTTAATTGAATTAAAATTCTTGTCGAAAAAAAATCCTATCGAATTAAAATTTAATTCTAAATAAAAAAATCAATCTAATAAAAATGTTATCGAATTAAAATTCAATTCTAAATTGAAAATTCAATGGAATTAAAATTATATTCTTCTAAAATTAAAATATAAATTAAAAATTCAAGAAATTTTAAATTTTATTCTACTAAAATTTAATTGAATTAAAATTCTTGTCGAATAAAAATTCTATCAAATTAAAATTCAATTCTAAATTGAAAATTATGTCGAATTAATTTTTTTGATCAATAAAAAATCTGTTAAATTAAAATTCAATTCTAAATTGAAAATTCAATGGAATTAAAATTCTATCGAATTAAAATTCAATTCTAAATTGAAAATTCAATTCTAAATTGAAAATTCATTTCTAAATATGAAAATTCAATTCTATATTGAAAATTCAATCGAATTAAAATTCTATCAAACGAAAATTTTGACGAAGAAAAATTCTATAAAATAATAAATTTAATCGAATTGAAATTCTATCAAACTAAAATTGTACAAATCGAAAATGCAACTAAATTAAAATTTTCCATAAAATAAAAATCCATTTAAATAAAAATTACCCCAAAATGGTAATTGTCCCAAAATGAAAATTCAAAAAATACTTTAAAAAAAAGAAGGAACAACAATTTGAAAAAAAATAAATAAATAAAAATTTAAAATTGAATAAATAAAGTAATAAAATTTTTGATTAAAAAAATGCAAAAATTCACCTGCTGCGTCGCTGGCATTCCCTGAAACGGCATCCTCGTCCCCTGTAAACCACCAACCCCCGCATTCTGTCCAGTCAACATCGGTCCCGATAAACTCGCATTAGTCAATTGATTCGCCCCCGAATAATTCGTCGGCAGATTACTATTAATTTGACTAGTACTTAAATTCGTCTGCCCCGGATAGAAATTCCCCGTTGGCATCGAACTCAAATTCTGCTGTTGTTGCTGCTGCTGCTGTACATTCCCACTCCCACCATAAAAATTCTGCCCCATTGGAATATTCTGCAAATTCCCCGGCATTCTCTGTACATTCTGCCCAGGCGGTAATATTCCATACTGACTACCAACTCCACTCGGATATCTTCCCGAAATCATTTGTTGCTGCTGCTGCTGATAATTTCCCCCCTGTTGCCTATTTTCTCCACTTTGATTCCCCCCAAAATTTGTCCCCGTTTTTTCATTATTCCTCTGATCGTACTGATTAAATCCAGTCAAATTCTTCCCTTGAAATTGTTGTTGTTGATTTAGTTGATTTGTTGCCGTTGGTACATTTGCTGTAATATTCGTCGATAAACTCCGTTGATTATTATCATTATTCATTAATTTATAATTTGGATTTGGATTCGTTAAATTTGGACTATTAAATATTTTTGGTAATGTTGATTGTTGTAAATTCGTGAGTGGAATATTTTGCGTTTGATTTGGAGATTTTTGCGGCGGTAAATTTTGATGATAATTTATTGTATTTAATGTGTGTGGCGTTTGATTCCAATTTTGTGAATTCATTTGATTTTGTCCTTGATTCGTGGCAATTGGATTTTGCCCTTGACTCGGAACAATTGGATTTTGTCCTTGATTCGCAACAATTGGAATTTGTCCTTGATTCGCAGCAAATGGATTTTGTCCTTGATTCGAGACAATTGGATTTTGCGTGACCTGATTTCGAATTGGATTTTGACCTTGACTCGCAACAATTGGATTTTGCGTGACTTGATTTCGAATTAAATTTTGTCCTTGATTTGCAACAATTGGATTTTGTCCTTGATTCTGAACAATTGGAATTTGTCCTTGATTCGCAGCGAATGGATTTTGTCCCTGACTCGAAACAATTGGATTTTGCACTTGATTCGCAACAATTGGATTTTGCGTGACTTGATTCGTAGCCAATGGATTTTGTCCTTGACTCGAAACAATTGAATTTTGTACCAATTGAGATCGAATTGGATTCGCATTAATTGGATTTTGTCCCTGATTGGAAACAATTGGATTTTGCCCTTGATTCGCAATTGGACTCGAAACAATCGAATTTTGCACCAACTGAGGCCGAATTAAATTCGCAGCCAATGGATTATTTTGCCCCTGACTCGAAACAATCGAATTTTGCACCAACTGAGTTAGAATTGGATTTTGCGGCGACTGATTTCGAATTGCGCTCTGAACTTGATCCATAACTGAATTTGACGATTTATTCAATGGATTTTCATTGAGCCTGAGATCATTGAATAGCGACGATGGTGGTTCGATTTTTTGTTTATTTTCCGTGAAATTCGTTGTATTTGGTGATGACGATGTTGATGGAGATTTAAAAATTGTTCCCGCTGATAATGACGACGACGACGACGATGACAACGTTGAGGATAAATTTTGTTGTGGGGGAAATTTTGCTGTCGTCGCTGTTGTCGTCGTCGTCATCGTTGTTGTTGTTGTTGTTGATGATGTTGTTGACGACTCATGAATTTCATTTGGTTTTTGTTGAGGGAAATTTTGAATTTCACGTCCGTTTATTGGTGGCATTTGCGGTTTCCATTCGGGTCGATATTGCGATTGATGACCCGCGCCCCGTAAATATTGCGTTGGCGATGGATCCCTCGACGTCTCACGTGACGATTGTGACGACGGTGTGCCTACAATTGAAGCAAAAAAAGAATAAAATTAAAAACTTGACTAAAAGAAAATCGAGAAACTCAACTAAACGAAAATGGAAAAACTCGATTAAAAGAAAATCTAAAAAATTGACTAAAAGAAAATGGAAAAACTTGACTAAAAGAAAGTAAAAAAAATTGACTAAAAGAGAATGAAAAAAATTGACTAAAAGAAAATCGAAAAAATTGACAATTTTGCTATTTTTTTTTTTTTGGTTTTGTTAAATATTTTACAAATTTTTTTTAAAAGAAAATTCTAAATATTTACAAATAGAAAATAAATTAAATGCAATAAAATATAAAAAAAATGGGACGCATGATTATTCCCCAAATGTCATTTTTCCGAAATGTCATTTTACCGAACTGCACTTTTGCGAATAGTCATTTTTGCGAAAAGCCATTTTTGCGAAATGTCATTTTCACGAATAGTCATTTTTGCGAAAAGCCATTTTTGCGAATAGTATTTTTTGCGAAAAGTCATTTTTACGAATTTTCATTTTTGCGAATTGTCATTTTTGCGAATCGCCATTTTTACGAATTGTCACTTTTGCGAATCAACATTTTTACGAATCGCCATTTTTACGAATTGTCACTTTTGCGAATCGACATTTTTACGAAATGTCATTTTTGAGAATAGCCATTTTTGCGAAAAGTAATTTTTACGAATTGTCGTTTTTGCGAATTGTCATTTTTGCGAAAAGCTATTTTTGCGAATTGTCATTTTTGCGAAATTTCATTTTTGAGAAATGTCATTTATGCGAATTGTCACTTTTGCGAATCGCCATTTTTACGAATTGTCACTTTTCCGAAAAGTCATTTTTGCGAATTGTCATTTTTGCGAAAAATACAATAGTAAACTTGTAGTATATATAGATTCACTATTGTATTTTTCGCAAAAATGTCAATTCGCAAAAATGACTTTTCGGAAAAGTGACAATTCGTAAAAATGGCGATTCGCAAAAGTGACAATTCGCATAAATGACTTTTCTGAAAAATGAAATTTCGCAAAAATGACAATTCGCAAAAATAGCTTTTCGCAAAAATGTCGATTCGCAAAAGTGACAATTCGTAAAAATGGCGATTCGCAAAAATGGCTATTCGCAAAAATGACATTTCGTAAAAATGTCGATTCGCAAAAGTGACAATTCGTAAAAATGGCGATTCGTAAAAATGGCGATTCGCAAAAGTGACAATTCGTAAAAATGGCGATTCGCAAAAATGACAATTCGCAAAAATGAAAATTCGTAAAAATGACTTTTCGCAAAAATTACTATTCGCAAAAATGGCTTTTCGCAAAAATGACTATTCGTAAAAATGACATTTCGCAAAAATGGCTTTCGCAAAAATGACAATTCGCAAAAGTGCAGTTCGGTAAAATGACATTTCGGAAAAATGACATTTGGGGAATAATCATGCGCCCCAAAAAAAATTTTAAAACACAATTTTTATAATTTAAATAAATTTTAAAGTAGATATGAATTTTTTTTACTTATTTCTTGTGTAAATGAGTTTATAAAAATAAATAATTTTATAATTGAAATAAAAGTATTAAAATCGTAATAAAATAAAAAAATTAATTTAATAATAATAATACTAAAAAAAATGTTTCAAATATAAAATTAAAATAGAATTAATAAAAGTATTGAAAAAAAAGCATTAAAAGTATTAAATTTTGCCACTTTTTTTGGTTTTGTTAAATATTTTTTTCATTAAAAACAAAATTCTAAATATTTAGAAATAGAAAAGAAAATTAACTGCGAAATAAGGAAGCGAATATCAAATTTAATATTTAAATTTAAAAAAAAGCAAAAAAAAAAAAAATTATAAATGGAAATAAAAAAAAAAGGAAAAAAAATGGTATATAAAAATAAAAAAAGAAATAAAAATATTAAAAATACAAATAAAAATTCCTTACTATTATATTTATCTTTATTATTTTTTAAAGTTTTGAAGAAAATTCTTCGCAAGAATTTTCCATTATTATTTTTTCAATAAACAATAAAAATCTTCTTAAAAATTCAAATTTTTCCAAAAAATTATCATATTTGAAAGAAATGTTTTTTCCACTTAACTTCTTCGTAAGAAAATTGATATACTTTTGAAAATTATAATAAAAATTTTCGTAAAGAATTCAATTGACTTCAAAAAATTGTAATAAAAATTCTTCAAAAGATTTCCAATTATTTTCAATATACAATTTTAATTAAATTTCTCAATTATTTTTACATTTTTGATAAAATTTAAGTATAGATAAAAATTCAATAAATTTTCAATTTTATTTTAAATTTAAATTTCTTCCACAGAATTTAAATTAAATTTTTTAAAATGCCATGAAAGAAATTTATTATTTTCAATTCAATTTTAAAAAAATTTATCGAAACAATTCAATTCTTGACTATAAATATATTTTAATAACAAAATTCTTCACAAAAATTAAATTATTTTTCGATTACCTATTTCAATTAAATTGTTCGAAAAAATTCAATTATTTTTTATACATAATAAAATTTCACTGAGGAATTCAATTATTTCCAAAAATAATAATAAAATTCCTGGCAAGAATTCAATTATTTTCAATTCAATTTAAATAAAATTTCAAAGAATTCAATTCTTTTCAAAACAATATTTTTAAAATTCTTGGCAAAATTTAAATTATTTTTCTAAATAATAAAATTCAAAAAAAAATAAAATTATTTTTAAATTTCTTAATAAAATTCTTTTTAAGAATTAAATTATTTTCTAAAAATTTTAATGAATTTATTATAATTAAATTATTTTTAATGTTTAAATTTACTTAAATTTCTTAAAATATTTCAATTATTTTTCATAAATAATAAAATTTCACCGAGGAATTCAATTATTTTCAAAAATTTTAATAAAATTCTTTCTAAAGATTCAATTATTTTCAATACGATTTGAATAAAATTTCGTCAAAAAATTCAATTATTTTTCCAAATAATAAAATTCCAAAAAATTAAATTATTTTTCTAAATAATAAAATTCTTCGAAAGAATTCAATTATTTTTTTCAAATAATAAAGATTATCAAAAAAAATTCAATTATTTTTAAAATTCTTGATAAAATTCTTCTCAAGAATTCAAATATTTTTTAAATTTTTGATAAAATTTTTTTTAAGAATTCAATTTTTTTCAATGTTCAATTTTAATTGAATTTCTTAAAATATTTCCATTAATTTTCAAAAATAATTATTTGAATTTTTATCAATTTCAATTATTTTTATAAATAAAAAAATTTTTACCAAGAATTCAAATATTTTTATTAATAAAAAAATTCTTCCTTAAAATTCAATTATTTTTTATAAATAACAAACGTCTTCTAAGAAATTCAATTATTTTCAACAATTTTATGAAAATTCTTAGCAAAAATTTAATATAAAAAAAAAAAATTCTTTCTAGGATTTTAATTATGTTCAATATTTTTATAAATTGTAATAAAATTGGTCGAAACAATTCAATTACTTTCAATATTTTAATTAAATTTCTCGAAAAAAATGTTAAATCTCTTGAAAAAATTCAATTATTTTTTTTATAAATTGTAATAAAATTCTTCGAAACAATTCAATTATTTTCAAAACTTCTTAATAAAATTCTATTTATTATTTTGCAAAAAAAAAAAAAAAAAATTCTTTCGAGGATTTCAATTATTTTCAATATTTTTATTAAATTTCTTGAAAAAATTCAATGATTTTCAATAAAAATAATTATTAATTCAATATTAAATTCAGTATTTAAATAAAAATCGTAAACAAAAATGTACATATAAATAAAAATAGAAATATAAATGCAATTAAAAATGTAATTATGTTTAAACAAAAATATAAATAAAAAGGAAAGAAAATTAATAAATATAAAAAAAAAACCAACAAAAATAGAAATAAAAATAAGTAAAAATATAAAAATTAATAAAAATATAAAAGTAAATAAAAATTAAAAAATAAATAAAAATATAAATTAGTACTACAAATACTAATTACTAATTTATAAATTATATTTAATTTTCCCACTAATCACTAATTTAATATTTTTTTTTCGTTCAAATTAAATAAAATTAACTAAATTCGATAAATTTGCAAAAATTATTACCCGCTAAATGAGGAGATTGAATGCCATTCTGCGAATATTGAACATTATTTTGTATGCCATTGACAGGTGATGGTCCACTTTTTAAAACAGAATCCGATTCAGAATTCTTTGGATAAGAATTATTGCTCAATTGTGACATTTTACAGCCTCGTCTTGACAGATAACTGAAACTACGAAATAAAATTCCACTCTCTCATATATATTACGTAAATATTCATTCCTTTTTTATCAATAATTAATTAATACACAAAACTATTCACTTTCAATTACAATCTTTTTTCGATAATAAAATTATAACTATCTTATAAATAGACATGAAAAAGAAACAGAGAGAAAGAAGAATTTCGCTTAAATGACTTTTAACAGATTATTACAAACGCAAAGAAAGAAATAACAAACAAGTAGAATTTTTGACAGGAGAAAAAGGTTGGAAAAAATTTGGAGAAATTCCGAAAAAAGGGAACAAATTGGAAAAAAGGGGCAGAAATTAGGAAAAAAAGGTACAAATTAGGAAAAATAGTCCAAAATTGTAAAAAAGGGTGAAAAGTAATCGAATTGGAATAAATTTAAGAAAAATGAAGAAAATCCTTTCTAATAAATATAAAAGCAAGAAAAGTATAAAAAAAAGAAATCGAGAAAAAAATTTACGAAACCCGAAGAAATTTGATTGAAAAATGAAAAAAATATTGTCGATAATAACTAAAATTCGAATAATACTAAAGGTTAAAACGTCACTTTACACTCATACACACGAACAAGAAAACGATGACGGGGAACTTTATATATATTTGCAAAAAGAGGTTTTTAATTCTCTCTCTCTCTCTCTCTTTCTCTCTCGCTCCCTTTTGCTCTCTTATTTTCTCTCGCTGGGGGGAAAATAACAAAATTTGTTTACTCACCTTTTTGTATCCGTTTTTCCAAAATTTGGGGTTATATTTCAATATTGGAAAATTCACTCATTGCACTGCGTGAAATTGTGATAAAAAAAAAATCAGAGAATAATTATATATCTGTTAAAAGAAATTCACAAACGACACACAACATTACGTGGCAGGCAATAGCGACTGCAGCGACAATTTTAATACATACATAGAATAGACAGGCACAGGAAAATATATAAATCGTTTTTGAGAAATGAAGCCGAGTGAAGTTGGCGATAAGTTGAGGTACAATGTGAAATTGGCTTACCTAACCTTAAGGAGCAGGGTTGGGTCGCAGGCATCGCGATATTTTGGATATTTTGTACTCCATCCCTAAAGGTTCGTTCACAATGCACATTACGGTATTTTCACTATTTTCGCCCCTGCCAAATGTCACAAATTTTCAAACTTTAGCGCAATTTTTGGCGCCAATTATTCAATTATTATCAAAAAATTTTTAATAAAATTCTTCGCAAAAATTCAATTATTTTCCATGTTCAATTTTAATTGAATTTCTTAAAATATTTTCAATTAATTTTCATAAATAATAATTTTTTTTTAAGAATTCAATTATTTTCTAAAAATTCGAAGAAATTTATGGTAATTATAATTCAATTCTTTTCAAAATTCAATTTTAATTGAATTTCTTAAAATATTTCCATGAATTTTAATAAGTAATAAAATTCTTTTTAAGAATTAAATTTTTTTTTTAATTTTAATAAATTTATTATAATTAAATTATTTTCAATATGTTCAATTTTAATTAAATTTCTTAAAATATTTGAATTATTATTTTGCTAAATAATAAAATTGTGTAACAGTGTGTAAGAACCTTTACGTTTTAGGCAAGCACAAAAAATTATGAAAAGCAATTTTTGGAATAATTTGAATATAGAATTGAAAAAATGTATTTTTTTGATTAGATTTATTATATATGTCTATATTATTTATTATTTTATTTATTATTAATTAATCAATTTACATCAGGGGACGGAAAGTACCGAAAAAAACCAGGGGAGAGAAACTATTATCTGAAGCTGAACGGAGCAGAAGGGTCAGAACTGCCTTGCGCGTTTTACCTGCCCAACCCTGCTTTCAAGTACCGTACGAACCCGAAATCACGCCCTCGCGTTTACTCCACGATTATAAATACAAAACGAACGAAATATTCCCCCAACTAGACGATACTTTACCAGAAACTCCGAACTTACTCAAAAATTTCCTATTTCAACCCGAAAAAAGGCTCTAAATAAAAAATAGTTGAAGAGAAAACAAAAAAATAATTTTTTCCCACCCAGGAAAGGCGCGGGCCCGAACGGAAACCCACTCCGCCCCTGTTGCACGGGGTCCACGGAGCTGGAAGCAGGGAGCCCCGCCCGTTTTCTTGACAGTAGAACCCAGAAGTGACGAACGAACGACGAACGAATCGAACGATCGTCAAAAAAAAAAGTGATTGTGTGTGTTCTACATGGATTAAAATCAATTGTTTTCTTTTCCACATGAAAACAATCGTAACAAGTGTCGTCTTCGTCGATTATTGCGTCTCACATTGAGCCCCCCAAAAAAATCATTCGTTTGCAAAATTTTTGATAATAAACATTCGATTTTTGTGTTGTAATCGGACGCAGCCGGCACCTTTAAAAAAGTGTACGGTTCCGGTCCATGTCAGTGCGCGTCACAATAAAAAAAAACAACTCCTCCTTATCAGCGGGGATTAATAATCGAGGGAAAAAACGTCAAATATTGACGCTACATGTGTAGAAGAAGAAAAAGTGTTTTTTAAAGCTCTTTTTAGAAGGTGACCGTTTAGGCAGAAGGGGCGGTCTTTTTTTTGAGGGATTCTCTCCTACAGTTTAATTAACGGACGTGGCGTAGCTCCTTGATAAGGAGCCCCAGGTAAATTATCATCCTTTTTTCTCTTTTTTTTTTTTAGTAATTAATTTAAGTATAAATTTTTCCTGATTTTTAAATTTTTATCCTGAATGGAAGTGTTCGAAAAAAAAGTGCCATGAACATAATTGTTGAGTTTTGCAAATATGGCGGCTGCGACTTGATTTTTGTGACAATAATATTCCCTGTTGTAAATTCTTTTTCTTTTTGTTGTTGATATTAAAATGCAATCAGTGAATATTTTTTTCTATTTCGACGTTCGTTTTGAAACGATAAAAAGAGGTTTTTTGATTTAAAAAGTCGGGGAAAATACTTGACAGAAGGAAAATGGTATTTAATTTTATTTCCTCAATTATTAGGTAAAAAAAATGTGTTTTATTTTAATTTTCAATCCAAACAGGTTTGGAGTTTGTTTTTTCGACTCTTTATTAGACCTTCAGTGTTAAAATCGTATTTTTCCCCTTAGAATAACAAATTTAGTTGGAAATTTTAAAATTCGATGAAAAAGTGCTAAATTACTTGAAAAACATTTTCTTGCGATTGTCAGAACGAATGTTTTTCTACTCATAGTTTTTTGTTTATTTTTTATTATTATAAAGAATTTATTATTTTTACTATTAATATTTATTATTTTTACTATTATTATTGCTATTACTATTTATTATTTTTACTATTATTATGAATATTACTATTTATTTTTTTTACTATTATTATGACTATTATTATTGACGACAATAATTATCAATTATTTTTAATAGCTAATGATAAAAAGCATTTTTTTCCCGGAAATAATAGTATTTAATATTAATATAATAATAATTGTTAATATTTTTTGATAATTTAAAGGTGAAAATGACATTTTTAAAATAAAATAATTCCATTTAATAAAATAGTTTTACTATCAAAATTTTTTTAAAGATTGAAATTTTTTGAAATAACTTTTCGAAATTCAAAGAATAATTATTAATATTAGAATTATTAATATTTTTTGATAATTTAAAAATACAAATAACTTTTCGAAATTCAAAGAATAATATTTAAAAATTTAATAAAAATACTTTTACTATCAATTTTTTTTAAAGATTGAAATTTTTTTGAAATATTTTTTAGAAATTCAAATAATTAATATTTGATAATTATTATTTATTGATAATTCAAAAATGCAAATAATTTAAAAAATGCAAATAACTTTTCGTAATTCAAAAAAAGAAGAATAATAATAATTAAAAGAATAAAAATCATAATGGTTATTAAATTTTTTTTTCTTTGGACAATTAAAAAATGCAAATAAGTTTTCCATAAAGAAATAAATTTACGAACATTGCGAGAGAATATATATTTTGTATAAACGACGTGAATTTAGAAAATTTCATAGAATAGAATTTTACGCGGAAATGAAATATTTATTCCAAGCTCTGACATATGCGCTCTGTCTCTCTCTTATTTTTCTCTCTGACTCGTTTGATCTAATTTGAGAATTCGGGCGTAAAATTCAAAGTTTTTTTTTCTCTACGTCAAGGTAATTAATAATCTTGGTTAAATAATTCTTTAGAATGTTTACTTGTTTTAATTTATGGTATCGAATTAATGCGTATCGTGTATAATTTCTGAAAATTAGGGAAAGAGAGAGAGAGAGAAAGAGAGACGGAGATCGATTGCTAACCAAAAGTGTGTCTGTATGATATCAAGTCGAAAAAAAGTATATATAGATATAAAATATTGTACATTGCTCGTAGAAATGAATTAAAAGTACGGAGCATAATTTTTTATTGTATATTTTTTCTTTAATTAATAATAATAATAATGTTTATAATACTAATAATAATAATATTAATAATAATAATATTAATAATAATAATAATAATAATAATAATAATAATAATAACATATTTAAGAAATTTAAAAAAAGAAATACAGTTTTTTTAATTAATAATTATTTTCTAGTAGAAGAACTAAATAAATTTTATTAATTATTATTTTGTAAAAAAATTTGATTAAATGAAAAGAAAATTATTGAAATGTATAATTGAAAAATTTAAGAATTAATTAAAAAGTTTTTAAATAATTAAAATTTAGTAGGAAATTTTGAAAATAATAATTAAAACGTTTCCAAATAATTGAAATTTAGAAGAAAAGTTTTCAAATAATTAAAAAGTACCCAAAATAATTGAAATTTAGAAGTGAAATTTGAAAAATCTTCAGTTACTTGAAATTTAGTAAAAAAAAAATTTGAAAATTATCGAAATGTAATTGAAAAATTTGACGATAATTGAAAAGTTTCTAAACAATTGAAATTTTGTAGAAATATTTTAAAATAATTGAAAAATTTCCAAATACTTGAAATTTTGTAAAAAAAAAAAAAAAAAAAAAAAATTGAATATTATTGAAATGTAATTGAAAAATTTGACAATAATTGAAAAGTTTCCAAATAATTAAAAAATTTTAGTAGAAATATTTAAAAATAATAATTAAAAAGTTTCCAAATAATTGAAATTTAGAAACAGAATTGGAAATAATTGAAAATAATTGAAGAATTTTAAAATTATAAAATTAATAGAAAATTTTGAAAATTACTGAAATTTAGTTGGAAAATTTGATAATAATTTAAAAATTTCCAAATAATTAAAAAATTTAGTAAAAATATTTAAAAATTATAATAGAAAAGTTTCCAAATAATTGAAATTTAGTAGAAAACTTTGAAAATAATAATTGAAAAGTAGCCAAATAATTGAAATTTATAAAAAGAATTTAATATAATAAAAATTTTTCTAATAATTGAAATTTAGTGGAAAAATTTAAAAATTAGTGAAATTTAGTAGGAAAATTTGATAATAATTGAAAAATTTGCAAATAATTGAATTTTTTTTATAGAAAGTTTTGAAAATAAATAAAAAGTTTCCAAATAATTGAACTTTAATAGAAAAAATTTGAATATATTAACTGAAAAGTTTCCAAACAAAGGATTAAAAAAAATGTTAATAATTGAAAAGTTTCAAAATAATTGAAATTTAGTAGAAAATTTTTTAAATAATTGAAATTTAACAAAAAAAAAGTTGTAAATTAGTAGAAATATAAAAAAATAATTGAAAATATTCCAAATAAGTGAAATTTAGTAGGAAAATATAAAAATATTTGAAATTCAACATAAAAATTTAAAAATAATTCAAATGTTTCTAAATAATTGAAATTTGTATAGAAAAATTTGAAAATGATTGAAAAGTTTCAAAAATTAATTGAATTTAGTAGAAAAGTTTTCAAATAATTGAAAAGTAGTAAAAAATTTTGAAAATAATTGAAAATTTTTCAAATAGTTTAAATTCAAAAAGGAAAATTTGAAAATAATTGAAATGTAGTTAGGAAAATTCGCCAATAATTGAAATTTGATAGTAATTGAAATTTAGTAGGATAATTCGACAATAAAAAAGATTTAAATAGAAAAAGTTTGAAAATAATTGAAAAAGTTTCCAAATAATTGAAATTTATGTAGAAAAATTTGAAAATGATTGAAAATGTTTCCAATTAATTTGAAAACTTTTCAAAACAATAAAATTATAATTTACTAGAAATATTTGAAAATAATTGGAAAGTTTCCAAATATAATTAAAATTTAGTTTTTTTGAATTTTTTTTCAAATGATTGAAGTTTTTAATGAAATTTTTGGAAAATATTTAAAGAGTAAGTAAGTAAGTATGTAAAAAGTTTTAACAATTTTAATTTATTTTTTTTTCAAGATAATTTTATTTATAAACTTTTAATTAAAGTCGAAAAAACGCATTTTTCGAAAATAGAGGGAAAATAGTTTTAAAAAACTTGTAATATTAAAGGTCCGTTTATATAAATTATAACAATAATAATAATGATAATAATAATAATAATAATAATAATAATAATAATAATAATAATAATAATTTAGTAAAAATAATAATATACAATTAATAATAATAAATGACAAATGGCAGTAATTAATGAATACTAATAATAAATTCATTGAGATGCAAAGTTTGAAATCAAGAATTATTTACTTTGAAAATATGTTCGGAAATTATTAAGCAACAAGAAATTAAGGTTCAGAAAGATGCACAGCTGTGCTTTTAATTGTCATGAAGTCATCGCATGAATATTGAGAATATTCTTTTGACAATTTAAATCTCTCGTTCTATTTATTTCTCTATTTATCTATTTCTATCTGTATTTCTCTATTTATATATTATTTCCCGTTCCATTTTTCTTCAATTCCTCCTTTTTCTATTTTTTTTTTTTTTTTTTTTTTTTTTGAGAAAAAATATCGTAATTTTTATGTATTTATTTATTTATTTATATTTTATAATATTTTATAATTTAAATTGCAATTCATAACGAATTTTATTCCCGTTTCATTTTTCTTCAATTTTCCTTTTCCTTTTTTTTTTTTCTTTTTTTTTTTGAGAAAAAATATCGTAATTTCTATGTATTTATTTATTTTATATTTTATTCAATATTTCATAATTAAAATTTCAATTCACAATAAATTTATTTCAATCCTTATTCGCAAGACTATTTTTTTTAATTTACATCTTTATTTATTTATTTTTTATATAAATGTCCCGGAAGTTAGTGTCAATAAACTATAATTATATCGAGATTTTTAGAGATGAAAATATCACCAATTTCGTACCTCCTTCATTTCAAAATCAGAAGAGTTCAAAAAAAAATTTCCAAAATATTTTTTTAACCTAAAAATTTATTTCCTGAATTTTTTTTTTAATTTCCATATTTATTTGTTTTTTGTAAATGACCAAGAAGTGCAATTTAAATAATAAATTTACTTGAAATAAAGTTATTCGGGAGAAATTTAAATAATAAATTTACTTAAAAAATAAAATTATTCGGGAGGAATTTTATTTTTAAATTTACTTAAAATTTAATTTTATTGGGAAGGGATTTTATTTTTAAATTTACTTAAAATACAGAAAGTTATTCGGAAGGGATTTTATTTTTAAATTTACTTAAAATACAGAAAGTTATTC